GGGGGGGGGGGCACTTTGTGTGTGTCTGAGGTTTTAGAATCAGAAACTGGACAGGATGACAAAGCTACCTTAGTTTAGCTTAGCATAAAGACTGGAAACGGAAGTCACTTAGCATAGGTCCATGTGTGCATTGGTCATCTGGGGGTTTCATACTGCTGGACTGTTGAATTTAGGCTCAGTACTTTCTTTAATGATGCTTCTGTGCTGGAATGTTACTGTATCTGCTGTCTCAGCTTCCTAAATGTTGCACTTACATGCAGAAGCTAATGATCCGACTTGATTCTTGTTGTTCTAGGTTTGTTCCCTCATGGTTGATGCACTTGTTGTTAGTCGCTTTGGATAAAAGCATCGGCTCTATGATATGTAATGATATGTAATGATATGGACCGGACCCTCTGTGTGAGCATCATGTGACTCACTGTCTGAAGTTGAAGAGCGGCATGGTGACCCAACCGAGAGCCTCGATGCTGCGACGCTGCTTCCCTTTGTCCTCAGCTCCTACAGGGGGGGGCAGAGAGCTGGCAAACAGCGTCACCGTCAACTGAGACTCTCGCGGGAGCTGGTTGATCTGCACCGGGAAGCACACCCTGCAGGGGGCAGTATTTTAAATTAAATCCAAACATTACAGGTGAAGCTCCAGTGAGACTCAAGATGGGAACGTACCTCTGGTCCCACACCACCAGGTGGAACAGGTATTTGCTGACCGCCTGTTTGCTGGTGTGCTGTGGCGCACAGAGCTCCACCCCTCCATGAGTCAGAGAGCAGGACAGGAAGAAACCTTCGTAACTGACCAGAGAGCAAGACAGAGACATGATGTCATGATGAGGTCAGACAGTAGGAAAGGCACTGGCAAGCCGTTTGTCACCAAGCTGTTTTAAAACAGATCACTGTTGCTAAGGTCACGCCCAGTGTCCGCACGTGAGTTTGTGAGTCTCTAAAACTGAGACTAGAGCTGCACGATATAATGAAAACATACAATATGCAATATGCAATAAACCTTGTTGAATATCGTGATGACGATATGACTTGTGATAAATAAATAAATTCTTAAGTATAAAGTGTTTTCTGCTTTGGTTTCACTGCCAACATAGACATACTCATACAGAGAGAGTTCAATACAGACACTGAAAAAAAGGAAAAGCATTACTTCTATGGCTACAGACGCAGACACCACGGACACAGCGCCACCGAGTCTAGGGCAGACACCAGGGAGCGCGATTCACACTCCACTCAGTGTTAATTTGGGTCTTTTCATACATGTTTGGACTGTGAATGTTGTTTTTTACAGTCTTAGCATCTGTCAGTTATTTCCTGTGTGTCTCTATCATTCACACTGAGCTCTGCACCATCTCCAGCTACACATACGTTGATTAATTAAAAAACACTGATCTCAATATGTTTCATTTATTATCTAGTGTTAGTGTGGACGCAGATCACGCAGACTGCTAGTGTTGCTGACAGACGTGTCAAAGCAGCCGGCCCTGCCTCTTCTCAGAGGTCAAAGATCAGCCTTTGTTAAATAAAGCCCTGTGTTTGGGGGTGTGGGGGAGGGGCAGACAGCTGCTTTCAGATCAGCTGAATCATCAGTGCATTTGTTCTCACTGAGGCTATGATGACCGCTGCAGCCTCCAGGGGGCGCTAACAGGACTCAGAGTGTCATCTCGCAGAGACACTGAGTCACATGTCTAACAAACACACTGCAGCATCATGTGACCTAAAACACCACTGACCCCACCTCCAAGGTCATTTTAACAGAGAGCGAGTGAAGGGGAGTGTCCAGAGTCATGTGATGTTTTCTGCTTGTATCACGTGCACACACATGGTGTTTACATGCAAAGGTTAAAGACTAAACGTCACATTAGATGATTGTTGACGCTCTCGAGAGGTTGGACCGAAGCTGCGTTTGAGTCAACACTGTTTGTGTGTGTGTGTACTTGTATTTATATCTTTGTGAGGACCATTTTATGCGTAGAGCATACAGAGTGAGGACATTTTGGCCTGTCCTCGCTTTCTGATTCACTGGTAGTGGGTTGTTTGAGACTTGGTTTGAGGGTTAGAATTAGGTATTTAATTTTGAGGGTCAATGTTAGAATAAGGGGCTCAGGGTTGTATTATGCCGATGAGTGTCCTCGCTAAGACAGAAGAGCAAACATGTACCTGGCGGCCCAGGTGATGGGGATCCTGTGGGCGGCGTAAACGTTGAAGGACAGCACGTTAGTGACGAGGCCGGCCTCCTGGACCGGCGCTGTGCAGCACTGACTCTGCGGCGTCGTGTGGAAGTTGGCGTTAAACGTGCTGCAGTACAGCTCCACCAAATCCAAGATAGCTGCCGTCAACTTCTCCACCACTTTATCTGTGAAACAAGATCAGGATGGACAGGAGTATGAAGACGGCACTCACTCTTCACACACTGAGTCAGAGCCGGAACTACTTCCTGCTGAAGAAAGTCAGTTAGAGCGTCGGGGTCAGAACACCTTTAACGCTGTGTGTCGGTTTCATTAACATGTTGTTATTCTTGTGTTTGTGTTGAATGTCAAATAAATTCAACTAATGATGATTAATAAATGATTTTAATTGATGAGAGGAGGAATCACATTGTTGCCATAGTGACATATACAGTACACCTTCAACAACAAGGTGTTCAGGTACATCAGGAGCTAGGCAACAGGGTTTGATATGAGCATTTGACATGCCAACTGTGTACATACCTCTGTTCTCTCTGATGGCGAGCACTGATGCATCCTGGGAGGACAGACATAGGAAACAGACGTTCAGAGTGACCTTACGAAAAAACAGACAGTGTCAAGACGCTGTCGCCGTCTCTCACCTTCAGGACTTTGGGCTGCAAGCGACAGGGGCATGCTGGGAGCTGGTTGAGGGCAGAGGTCACATCAGGCGTTTCCACGGCTGCTAATGAGCTGCAGAGCGCCTTCACTGATTGGACAAGGCGCTCGACGTGCAGCGGTAGCTCCGCCTTCAAAAATTGAGCAAATAAGATTACATGGTTACATTTAAATTGAGGAATAGACTGAGGACGAGTGTGAACAGATGTTTGATCTGGATCTGAAGTATGTCTACGAGTGTGTGAAGTTCCCTTTACAGAACGTGTGTGTGTGTGTGTGTGTGCGTGTATGTGTGCGTGTTACCTCTGACAGAAGGAAGGACTCGGCTTCGTTGTGAAAAGTGTCGAGCAGAAGGGTCAAAGCCTCCCTGAACACAACACGACACAACAACCTGAGACGCCATCTTCTACCGTATGTCACTTTATTTGTGTTGAACATCACAACATTCAAATTTCAGCCAATCAGAAAGCATCTGGACTCTCTAACCAAAATTATTCTTTATGTAATTATAAGATAATTATTACGTCCAGCTTCCCCAGTTTGACCAATCAGACTGGTGTATTAGGGTAGAGCCCCGCCCCTCACCTGGTGACAGTCTGTTTGATTGGACGCTCCTGCAGCAGGATGCTGTGGTTCATGGTGGACACTGTCTCATCATCGTCTTTCTGTCAATCAAAGGTTCAAACTGTTAACGAGCCACTTCCTCTCCAAACCCGACTTTACAGAGTGTCTGTCCACTAACAAACACATCTGCTGATCAAGTTCAACATGTCCACTTCAACAATCAGTGTGTGTGTGTGTGTGTGTGTGTGTGTGTGTGTGTGTGTGTGTGTTCAGACCGTGCGGGACAGCTCCGTGTTCACAGCTGATCTCTTAATGAGACACAGCCGGACGTCCCAATCGAACTTTAGACACTGATGAACAAACTCAACACTGGCAAGAGTCTGAGAGCTGAAAGAAAAACAGGTAGAGAGAGAGAGAGAGAGAGAGAGAAAGAAACAGGTCGAGAGAGAGACAGACAGAGTGGGACGGAGAGTAAAGGACAATATATTTCTGTTTGTGTTGTTTGAGACTGTAGATGAAAAGACACAATCATGTCCAACACAAACAGCTGCTGTAGGAAGCGGATAATAACAGTTATTGTTTAACTGCAGGAAACACACACTTGCGCACACACAGAGTAGACAATCTGCTTCCTGTCTACACCACATGACATGTTTGTTTTAATCGCTGTTATGAAAAGATAAAGGATCAGCGAGGTTCTTACTTGTTGAAGAACTCTTCGTGTCCACAGACCTTCAGCAGGTAATCGTCCACGTCCAGGTGATCCAGGTCGTCCTGAGCATAACACAGAGTCTGATAGATGAGCAGGTCCACAGCAGACGAACCTCAGAGACAGAGAGACAGACAGTTTATCAACAACACCGATTTTTAACTGACACATTCAAAAAACATTCAATCACAGAAACATTCACTCTCTTGTTTTTATTGTTTTAATATGAAATTTCTGACACAAGTTTCTTCCTGTCACCATGAACCAGTATGGACTTTTAATTTGAAGGCCCGTCAGTTCTGACTGGACCAATGAAAACAGTGTGTCTTACCATCGCAGGTAAAGGTGAGTGGTTCTCTGAAGTGCTCGCTGATGATGGTGACCTTTACACTGACCCCCAAACCCTGATGGAGCTCCTCGCTGCCCACAGAGGGCGACCAAACGAAGCCGGCGTTCTTCGATCTGTCGCTGTGCGGATACGCCGAACGTAAGCTGGAGACACACAGACAGAGATTTGCTGAGACTGACAAAGAGCTGGTTGAGGCCCCGCCCCATCAGCACAGCCGCTCTGCTAAAGTTACAGCGTTAGTCAAGCTGCTGTTGGATCTCTCCTATTGGCTGTCGCTCCGTCAAAGTAACTTGTGATGAACAGTTTCTATGACATCATCAGGAAGTGTGACGGATGACTCATTACTCACACGTCGAGCATGTGACAGAACGCTGCCACCTCCTCGTCTCTCTCCTCCGACACCTGGAACAGTTCATATCCAAACCCATTCATCCTAGACCCCAGAGACACCTGTCAATCACACACACACAGAATCAGAGGAAAAGACCGGAGCTGACCAATCAGAGGACAGATACAGACCGGAGCTGACCAATCAGAGGACAGATACAGACCGGAGCTGACCAATCAGAGGACAGATACAGACCGGAGCTGACCAATCAGAGGACAGATTCATGCTCTTACCAGGTCTGCAGAAACTCGCCGCTGGTTCTTGTTGCTCTTGGCGACGGGTACATACGTCCTGGGCGGCACTTGAGGGGGGAGGGTCTTACTCCGAGCCACAGGCTTCCCTGATTGGTCACCATTGGCCCTCCGACCTCGGGGCCCCTGTCGGTTCCCATTGAGTTTTGACAGCGAGTCGTTGATGATGTCATAGTTCACCTCTCCTGACGTCACCTTGGGCTGATCCACATCAGGCGTGAACACGTTGACGTCTCGGGGCATGGTCGACCCTCGAGGGGGGAGGAAGGGGTTCTCTGAACCTGATGACAGGGGGAGGGGGTTTCTAGGTGGGATAGCGGGGGGGACATCATCAGGAAGCAAGGGGAAGCCTTTAGGAGGAAGTCCTGATCCAGATCCACGTGAGTCATCCAGGTTGGATCCTGATCGGTCGCTGAACTTGTTGACCTCTGACCCCTCCAAGATGTACTGGGGCTCTTTGACGTGGCCTCCCTGAGGAGGGGTGGCCCTGGCAGGGACAGACTGTGGAGACTGGGACCCTCCTAGCTGGTGGAGGGAGGGGTCAGATCCAGAGAGGACCCCTCCTGTGGGGGCAGGGCAGGGCAGCGTGGGGGCGGGGCAGGGATTGGGGGTCTCGGACCGGGTCTGACTGGGGGTTCCAGATCCAGGCTCCTCGCTGCTCTTGTCCTGTTTGAGCCTGGAGAGGGCGTCGTACTCCATCTGCAGCGCCTCGGCCAGAACCAGCTCCTTCTGACTAAGACCCAGAGCCTCCAGACACCCCCATCCACCCTCGCCGCTAGCCGACATCACGCCGCCTCAGCAGCGTTGCAGGTAAGAGCTCGGCTCAGTTGTTGCTAGGAGACACAGGGAGGACACATGGAGCTGACGAGCTGAAGACACAGAGACAGAGAGAGTGAACTCATCAATACTCACTGCATCAGATCAATAACAACAATCGATCCGTTTTTAAACTGATCAATAGAAACATGAAGTAATGAAACTATGATCAAAGGAGCAACTAAGACGTGATCAATACAAGTTTCATCAACTATCAATTATCATCACAAACTGATGATGTCATCCGGTTTGTCATCAACTCAGACAGGAAACACTGACCATGACCTCTGACATCACGATGATGTAAACATGAACGTTTCATTATTGATCTGATGATCTGATCAGTCACATGACACCATTGTTCACTTTGTGACTGACTTCCCCCTGAAGGTCGAGGATCATGGTCCACACAGAGGGGGGGTGGACAGAGGGGAGGTGGGAGTCGTCCTCCAACTCTTCTACAATATTCTGTCACTTGTTTATAGTTTGTGTGCATGGCGTTGTATAAACAGTCTGTGGTGCAGAGTGAAGTTAGACAACTTTGTGTTCATCCTACCTAGTTTAGGAATAAAAGCTCTGTAACTATATAACCATATAAAGCATTACAGCAACAAAACGAACGTTGTGCTTTTCTTTAAAGACAAATTACGAAACAGGAAGTGATTCTGTGAATGTTGTTGCCAAGATGGCGATCAGCTGCTGTACGGTTCTAGAGAAATGAGAAACACAGACGTTTGTCGAATTAGTTTGTAGATTATTATACATATAATTTATAATATATTCAGGTTTAAATCAGATTAACTTCAGGTTAACTTCAGGTTAACGATCACACGTCATGACTCAGGCAGAATATTATTGATACGATTAATAATCATTAAATCTGAGTGACCGTCACGTGATCACTTTGCCCACACCCTGAGACAGGTGTGTGACGTCACTAGTTGAAGTCGCTGCACGTGTCGGCTCCATGTTGTTGTTGAATGTTTACATTTTGTTGAGGGTGAAGGAGCAGAGCCGGAAGTCACAGGTGGGTGACGTCATAAACGAAGAGGAAACATCTGCAGCAGCAAACACACCTGACCTCTGACCTCTGACCTGCGGCAGGTCAACCCTGTGAGGCCGAACTGACCGGAGGTGTGAACCGGTCAGAGAACATCCATCAGCCGGTTCAGGCAGAGACTCCCGGTGACCGAACACCGGCTCGGTTAAACAGTACGATTTGTGAATGGACTTTGGTTGTGACAGAACCGAGCTGAACCCAGAGGACCGCCTCGGCACCAGCTCTGTGTCCGGCCGGAGCTCCCCCCGCTGGCTCTTACCTGACTCGGTCTACGGTCTCCGGCAGCGGGCGGCGGGAGCCATTTTAAATCTTCACTTTCCTGCACAATCTCACGGGTGTCGTCACTGTCGGTCCCCGGTCACTGAGTCCGGACTCACAGGCAGACTGCGGGCTCGCCTCCGGGCGGGAAGGAACCGTCGCATCCAGGCGGTAGAAGCGGGTCAGCGGCTCCGCTCTGTCGGTGTCTGGTACCGGAGAAACAAAGCGGCCGCGGGGCGGTGAAGCTCCGGAGGATGTGGAGCATCCCGGTCCCTCAACCCCGAGACCTGCGTCACTGCACCGGAAGCACACACACAGCTTCCGGTCAGCACAAATAAAATGTTCACGGTGGGAACATGTTAACATATCGAATACATGGAGTCAGGAACATATTAAACACATGATGTCACGAACATATTTAATATATGATGTCACGAACATATTAAACACATGATGTCATAGTGTTTGATGTCATGAACATATTTATTATATGACGTCATCAACATATTCAATATATGATGTCATGAACATATTTATTATATGACGTCATCAACATATTCAATATATGATGTCATGAACATATTTATTATATGATGTCATCAATGTATGATTTCATGTATTATGTCAGGATCTGATGTGATGATAAAATTAAATCAGCTGTTTCGGTCGTGCTCAGATCCATTACATGAATCTTAATAAACAAACGTTTATTTCTGGTCACATGAACACACGTGTGCGTCAGATCGAACATGTTGATCAGAAACAATCAGAGATTTTAAATCCACAAAAACAAAACACAGAAAGAAAATCAGTGTTTATTTTATGTTTCACAAAGTTTCAGTCTAAAGATAAAGACTTTTAAGCAGTTAATACATTATGTATAATTATCAATTATCAATCATCAATAATCATGCTCATGTGTCTGATTCACTGATAAATCTGTGTTCAGGAGTGTGATGTCATCAACCAGTCAAGTTCACAAACACACACAATGAATAGTGACAAATGAAATTATTGAATTATTCAGCGTAGTCTAAAGACATAACGATTGTTTCCTGATTACTTATGTTTTATGATTGCTTATAATTTATGAGAAAACCATGAGAACATTAACAAAAACTTGAGAATGTCCAGATAAGACTTTATATTGAAATGACAATGTAACATCTGTAATCATAT